CTCTAATAGTTCCACCTGATTCTTTCTCAGAGTATCCATTTCTTCCTTCATATCCTGGAAGGACTTCCTAATTTCCTGCAGTTCATTGTCTCTTTTCTGTTCCAGTTCACAGAATTTGGTCACCATGTATGTTCGAAACTCTTTGTCATTTTGGTAACGTCCTCCATATTTACAAGACGTGGAGGAGCCTTTTCCTTTGTTGGACATATATTTCCTTGTTTATTCAGACCTGAGGCCCTTTTTCTACTTATAGCCATTGGAAGATGTATTCCCTTTGAAAAGCTCTTAGGGGAATGTTTCTCGCACTAGGAGTAGGAGTGTTTCTTTTTGGCCGGGAATAGATGTTTGCCGAAGTCTCTCTTCAGTTGTTTTTACCAATGATATTTCAAGAGAGGAACTCTACTGAGGTGTTTAAAAAGCAGTAACTCCGTTCTCACAGGTTGATCAGTACAAGGGAGGATCCCAGAGACACTTGCATTACTAGGGAATTTCAGATGTATGATTTTAGACCTGTCTAGTCCCTCTGTCAGCGTAAGAAGTGCAGGGGAGAGGATAACATGAAATGAAATGAAAGACAACAGAGAGAGAGAAAGAAAAAGTCATGCAATTTCACCAGAGACTTCTAGTTGGAGCAGTTGCCTGTGGCCTGGAAGGACAGTCTGTGAAGAGAGGCAGAGCTAGGAATTAGCAATAGATGGGCTCCAAGGGGAGAAAAAAAAAAGCCACAGAAAATTTCTACCTACCTACCAAGGAGGTGGAGTCTGGGGCTGGGGAGACTGGAAGCGGGGTGGGGGTCAGCGATGACCCTCCCTCAGAGTCCCTTGCTGAGTGGGGAGGGGGTCAGAGATGACCCTCCCTCAGAGTCCCTTGCTGACCAGAGACTTCTAGTTGGAGCATTTGCCTGCGGCCTAGAAGGACAGTCCAGCATGTAGTAGTTTTCAAAGGATGGAGGAGAGATGAGTGCACCCATTTTCTGTGGTTTTGATAATAAAGTTTTAAGTTTTTTTAAAAAATATTTTCCTCAAAGTAATGGTGGCAGGAGTTGATGAGACTTTTCAGAATTAAGGTCTAGTATGTTGTTATTAGATTAAGGGAGGCATCATTCTAATGAATGCCTTAATATTGTCTCATATCAAGCAAGTTCTAGTTTTCATGTGAAGGGGT